AGTGTGGTACGTCATAACTAATGGTGTGTGATTCATGGGGATTTTCTTTTTGTACTGCAGCAAATCTCTCCCACAGTAACCACACTCCACAATAGAACCATGACCATTGGGACCTTGCTTGGTGCCCGAACCACCCCCTGGGCAGTAGAGTTCAGGGGGTGGAAAGTTGGTCCACAAAGAACAGAAGGGTGGGAGATGGGAGCCTGTATTCTGGAATGCTGGAGGACTGCAACTTGGGTGACTCATCTGTGGGGCGTGACCACACATTAATGAAACACAAGCTGGGTAACACAGATCTGAGATAAACCTGCCCAGGAGTGGTGAAACTTTAAGCTGCCTAAAGTGTACTTAAAACTAGTTTCAGGTGTTAATATGTGGGGTTAAGAGCTCCAGGAGCGACCTCAAATTAATGTGTTACAGGTCCCTTATACCCACAGGCATTTCAAAATGCACAGATAACTCGTGTTAAATGGGCAGCACCTGCTCCTCTCTAAAGCATAATGCTAACCATTTTATGGTAGTATACTCTGTTTAACATCCATCCATCGTGTTAGCCTCTAAGTATTCCATTATATATCCCTAGAATGTAATCACAGAGGTATCTCTTGAATTGTGGGGATAATTAATCATTAAAACAGATTACTAAGAAAGGTAGCCAATCCATTGCCAAAAGACATTTTCTAATTAAACATCTAGTTATTGAGCTAAATGAAAAGATGAATATGACCTGTTTTATAAATAAGGGATAGGTTGATACTATAAATCGCTCTTGGCTATAAAACCCAAAGATTTATATGTTTATGGAAACAAAACTTTTGTCAAAGATTGTCTTAGATCCTAATGCATAGAAAGTCTTCAATTTTATTCCATGATCTTCAGGACCACATCATTGTTCATCCGAAGAGCAAAAATTAACCAACATAATTTTTATGCATAGTGGAGCACTTTGTATCAAGATTCCATTGCCATATTATGTATGAAGTCATAATCAATGTTAAAACATTAATCATTTGTATAAATATTTATGATATAATGGATCATAGGCTCCTATACACATGCAGGGAGCCTGCTCTGACACAGGAAATCCAGCGTGTCCAAGCAGACTCGATTAATCAAGTGAGCTAGAGTACAGCAATTGACACAGTCGGGCAGCCTTGCACATTATGTGTATCAGTGTTGCCGTGCTGACAAAATGGCAATGGGGAGTTTTGAAATAAAACACGTCCACTGAGCTTTAGTTCAAAGTGCCTCGCCACCATTTTTTCAGCACAGGGACGCACGGCAATGCTGATATATGTGATGCGTGGGCATTTTTAATTAGCCCGGCTCACTAATTAAAGCACCCGGTACCACTTCCAGGAGCGCATGTAAAAATGCCCAGTGAATCAGAGAGACTAATGGACTGCAGAGGCTTGTCTACTGCTCCACAATAAACTTTGTTGTTTATTTATTCCCATTCATGTATGTCTGTTCTTTTTTAACTTGGTGATCACTACCAAATGTGTTCTACTGGGGGGGGCTTTTACAATCTTTTCTTTGATGCCTGATGAAGGGTGTTTGTGCCTGAAAGCTTGCAATTCAAGAATTTTATTTGCAAAAATATTGTTCATTTAATACAAGATATCACCTCTACCACAATCCCTGATTGCTTTTTCTATTGATTTGCGTACATTTATATTGATACAGCTGCATCCACACACCAAAAGGGGTTTACTGAGTTAACTATATTCCAGTGGATCAAACTGACAAAACTTTCTAGCGTGGGTAAGGCCCTTCCTACTCCTCTGAAACTCCCAAAAGGAGGAAGTGGTGTAGTACCAGTAGTGGTGAAGTAAGTGCTTTTGATGGCTGTCCTTTGGAACTAGTCTGACCAGCTTATTTCATGCAGGAACTGCTAAGCAACAAGCAGACAAAACCTTTTGTTCTTTAATGTATTCAATCCATGGACATAAAGATGAAAGTCTCCCATGTACAAACCCTTGTTTTATCTGTTTGAATTCCTCTCCCTATCCTGTTTACTCAGTAGGTTAAAGATTATAATGCAACCCAATATAATGAGCCAGTAATATCACTAAGGGTGGGAAAGTAGGGCACCAGCCCCAAGTACCAATGGGTGATGATGCACCTCACCATCTGCACCCCAAAATTCTAGATCCACCTATGTTTATTGAAGAGAAAACTAAGGTAAATTCTGGGAGCAGGTTGACATCACTGGGAGGAGGCATGCCATCTGTTCTGATAAACTACTGTGTGCAAAGCATCAGGGAGGAGGAGCACTACCATATCATGACATATCTACACCCACAATCTGAAGCTGCCATGGGTTCCTTTTTCTGATCAGGGAGAAGTGAGGCAAAAACAACCACCCTGAAAAGGAGCATGAGAGTCGTGGTAATTGGAATCATTGCTCAGGGTCATTTGAGTTGTCACGTCCACTGGAGACAATGGATACTGGTGCAGGAAGCACAGAAAAGTCATCCTTTTGGTCCAGGAGGGAGAGCACTGTCCCAGTCTGCATTGCTTTTTCTCACCTGAGGCGAAGGAGTCTGTTGCCGCTGGAGAAGATAATGGTGGAAGGATATTTTCAAGATGGGATTCTGGTGCCCACTGACTTGCATTGGCAGCTGCAGAAGGGTGTGGCCAGCATAGGATCAGCTGGCAGTCACCCACCTCTCTGCTCCATGAAAAAAGCATGCGGCTACTGTAATGGTCTCTAAGAATTGTACATATTTCTGGACAGAGTCTGAAGAAGATTTCATTTATCAGAATGAGCAGACACTGGCTTCCTGAGGATAAACATTTCAGCCTATTATGCTATACCTTGCAGTGCAGTCTAGAGATACCCAAGTTAACTTTAGACTAGTTAACTTGGGTATTAGAAGTAATATACCCACGGAAGCATGAAGTTTCTATGAAGCAAGTACATTCAAAGTCAAAACAGCCACCAACTAACTTTTCTGGGCTGGAAAAGCTCATAATGATTCTTTACAACAGTGTTGAAAGGTTTCAGTTTAATATTTTAATTTTTTCAGCTTTTCTGATCTGCCAAAAACAAAATATTCTGGGTTTCAGTCTAATCTGATTTTTCTCCCAATGTTTTTCAATATTGCCAAAAAAACAAAAAGAAAAATCCATCATTCGGTCAGCTTTAGTGTATGTGGTTCCATAGAACAAGTCTCACTTTTGGAATCATTGAAGTATGTAATCAAGAAGATCCTTATGGAAGAAAACAATGAGAAGGTGTAAGAAGAAGAACCAGAAAACTTCTTGTAGTCTTATTTGTTTTTTCTGATTGTTTCATATAATAAAACTTATGAGTTCTGACAAAACCTAAAACTGTTAGACATGAACCCCAGGCTACTACTGTCCAGTTTTAAGAGGGTATATATGGAATATTTGAATATGGAGAATAGTATCCTTTCTTATCCTCACACATTTATGGTCTTAGATAATCCGTTGTCACTGTGTGATTGGCTGTTGTGCAGCTGTATTTTCTGCAGGTTAACAGAGCTAGATGCAGAGGAGATACAGAATATGGAAGCTCCCCAGCTATTGTACAGTCTGTGCGCATAAATTCTGTCCACGTTGCCTGCTCCTTCTTTGCTTCTGAGGGAGGTTGTGGATGGAGGGAAGATAGAGGGCAGAACTCCACATAACAGGAGTGGGTTGCACCATCTGAAACCTAGTTGGGATCTACATACTACTCCTATAGACAGAGTGCTCCAGGGCAATGTGGTTCTGCATGTCCATGTATTATGGTCTATGTGGAATGCTGTCAGTTTAAACTTTCATAACTGATCCTGCTATCCTTGCTTAAGGTAAGTATTCTTATTATTAGAGCCAATAAAATGGTGCTTCTCTCATTTGCAATAAATATACGTCAGCATTTTATCTAGAAGAGGAAGTGGAGAATTTTAGGTTCAATGCAGTTGCCCAAACTAGATTGTGACCAGGGCACCAGTCATGGTGTCTTTTAGGACCAGACACTGACAGCCTTTCCTTAAAAAAAAGTAACATTTTACTGAAGTCAGTGGGGTGTCACTCAACATGAGTAAGGCTTTCAAAATCTGGACTACAGAAGTAGTGAGGTGGGATCCCCCCTCTGTCCTGTGGAAGGCAGCTGTAGGTTAATCCCAAACAGGCCAAAACAAGTTGTAAGGCAACAAACTTGCCATCAGCCAAGTGTTAAACCCTTAACCATTTTTCCTGAGCATCAACTGCAAGATAAGTGGAAACTAATTTTACAAGTTGCATAAACCCACCAAGGCCATGCTGAAACTTTTTAATGACTAAGTTTAAACTGAATTTTTAACCCTGTCGTCAGGCAGGAAAAGATGTAGCAAGGCATCACGTTGTATAGGCGTGAACAATGCATAAGTGGAAGTGAATGAAGGTAGTATTTAGGCCAATAGATGTGAAAAGAACTAAACTAGTGTAAAATATGCACATGTATTTGACAATATAAGCAGAACTAATAAAAAGTAAGGATATAGAGAACATGACAGACAACTTCAAGACTGCTGAGGTGATATGCTGAGACTGGACCATTCTTCAGCTAATACAAATCTGTGCAGCTCAACTTAAAAAACTTAAAGGGATTAAATAAATCATATCCTTATCCTTAGTATCCATCACACAAACCCTGAACTACCCTTCTGTCATTCAGCTGTATGCAAAAGAATAGAATTTATGTTTCCTTCTTCTCAAGTGCATTTAGCACAGCTGAAGACGACAAAACCCAGGCCTCTTAATGGAGGGGAGCAAAGGACCTTTGTTCCATTTTGCAGAATAGGAAAATGTGATCATATTAACAAATAAAGGTCTTGTTCACATCCTTTTTCTGCATTACCTGGATTATTGAGTAGATGGGAAGGGAATTTCTTGTTAGGCACAAAAAGATATATTAAGACATCACATTGTATAGACATGAGCAATGCATGAGTGGGGGTGAGTGAAGGTAGTATTTAGACCAATTGACATGAAAGGAAATAACATGAAACATGTGCGTGTATTCGGTAACATACGCCGAAGTTATGAAAGGTAAGGCCTATAAAGCATGGCCAGGACTGCTGAGGTGATCTACTGTCCTGTGGAGCCTGAGGACTGCCTGATCAACAATCAGGTTAAGACATCCATTAGGGTAAGTAACCAATTGCTTGTAAATGCATTGTTTATCTGTTAATAAATGCATGTTACAGAGTGGAACACTGTACCTAAGGAAGGCAAAATGGCAAAAGCCTTTGGCCTGATAAAGTATCAGCAGGTGTCTATATGGCGGCTACATAGTCCCAGTAGCTTACTGGAGGGGCTGAATATCACTCTCTTCAACTCCTGTTTACTTCCACATGTGCACTGACCCTGCTCTCCATTTGGGAGGAAAGTTACTTTTTCTCTTTGGCTTTGTGGAGGTGGTGAATAGGCAGCTATACATTTGGTACATAGTTTGTTATACACCTACACACAGAGGTATGTGTCATGATAACCAGTGCAAATAAGCAAATAGTGCTTTGATAGGAAAGTGTAAAATACTGTTTATGTGTAAGTGTATATGCAAGTGTACGTGAAAAGACTGTAGATATTGCATTTGTTATAGGCAGATATTGTATTTGTTATGGGCAGAGGTTTGAATAAGTGGGGTGGGTGCCTTTAATATAGATATCAGCATGTAGATGAGGAACTAACATTCATTTGGGTGCATACAATGTGACCTTAACTTTGAGTCTTGTTTATTGTATATTGTGTTTAGAGTACATGCTAAAGTCCAGGAGATTTCTAATCAATTTTGCTGATATCTCCAGTATCGCTTGTGTTTTCTATAGCCACATTTCTTCTTTATGGTTTATACTTCTACACCACCATCTGGTGATGCTTGTCCATACTGCTATTGTTAGTAATTTAAACCAGTTCAGTTCTTTGTAATTAAGCCCACAGCACATAGATGATTCTATTGTGTCCCTGAGCCTGGGCAACTTGAAGGCCAAACAACTAACACAAGAATCAATTCCCAGTTTTTTTTGCTGGTCTTCAGAAGTTTCTACTCGATAGTTTGCTACAGTCTTAAATGCATTATATTGACCACTGTAGAGTGGAAGGGAGAGGAATCTTACCTGCCTGGGCTCTCTTCGCTCCAGCAGGAGCTGCCACTGCTGCTACTTTAACACCATGGGCTGGGCTTTTGCCACTGAGGAACAGCCACTGAGGTACCTGGGTCCCTCCTGGTGCCCCATTCATGCCTCCTCCCCCACCCCCAGGGGCAGGGCTGACCCTCCCATGGCAAACCTCCCAGGGGGAAGGGGCATCATTCCATACCCCCTCCCCCTACCAGACACACTGCTGAGCAAGGCATTTCCCTCACCCAACTATGCTTGCCTGGCTCCCTATTGTCAGACTGTACAGGGCTCTCAATGCTGTGGAAAGACTCTTGGTGGGAGGGGACATACCAGCCCCTCTAAGTCAGTCTCCAGGGCTGGTGCCCCTCTCACCCTGCCCTAGTTATACTGTTGGCTGAAGGTAAGTACTGCCCTTCCAATTTCCTGAACATCCCTTGACCAAACAATGCTGGGTTATATATTACATTGTGATTCTGCCTTACATCTCAGAAACTGATTGTTGTCCAGGAGAAATAAAAAAAACAAAAACGTGGCCTGATTTTTCAGAGGTTTGAACTGTTTCCAGGGTGCTTCAATGAGCACAGTGGGTGATCAGTGCCTTTGGAAAATGAGTAGCACAGCAGAACAACTAAGAGGGACTCTGAGATGCAAATAGCTAAAGATGTAAAGGCAAATAAGAAACTTGTAATATATGCAGAGCAAGAAATCCTTGAAGACCAAAGTGAGCCTATTAGTTTATGAGGAAGGCAAAAGGTATTGCAGAAATGTAATTTCTTTTTTAACTTCAGTCTTTCCAAAAGAGGATGATAGGAAGATGCATACTCTTGAGCTTCTCCATATAGGCAGTGTTACAGATAGAACACTATGAGAGAGTGACATGTGAAAACAGAAGATGCTGGAACAGCTGTCTGGACAAAATAGAGAGCCACCAGCCACCTGGACTGGACTGGTGACTTGGCTGGATTGATAACAACAATCTGTTCATTTAATTTAGCTACTCTACCAGTGGGATGAGGTTAGGCAATGTGGTATGCTATTTTCAAACAGGACTGACTCTGAAAATTACAAGTCACAGAGAAGATGCTTTGTTACAAGATCACTTAAATTTAAATGCTTTGGAGTAAAATAATTACCACTTCCATAAAACGTTAGTGTAAAGAGATAGCATACAGGAAAACTGCCTGTCTATGCCATTAGAAATCCTTCAAGGAAGGTAACAAACCAGGGGGGGAAAGGATGAGTTATTACACTTACTTTGGGTTTCCAAAAAAGTTGTAATAAATTCCTCACAGGAGGATATTAGGGAAATAAGAATGACTGAATGAAATGTAAAGTTCAGAAAGAAAAATTAAAACACAGCTATACATTGTCTTTTTTTCAAAACCAGGGAAAGGAATGTTTTCATTTTAATGTATTTTAGATAACTTAGAAATGATGATGAGTGAAGAAGTAGCATATTGAAAACCTTAACATTATCGAAGTCTAGTCTAAGGAAACTAAATATAAACAATGATGGAATGAGTTATTCTACAGGTGAAATATTTCAGTCTATATTTATATTATTCAGGCCCACCTGAAAGCAGAAGACTACCTACTGAAATAGAACCGAAGGGCCTTTGGCTACTGGCAATTCTCCTGGTGTTTGGACCCTAATAGAGGGAGTTGAACCACCAAGTACATATACATGCTATTTCTTTCTAAGGTAATGATGTATGATCCTGAGTGCTCTTGATTCAATACTGCTGACAAAACACCTGTTAACTACAATGGGAGAATGACCTGGTTTCATATTCTTTGCAGAAAAAGTAGGACATTACAAAGGGCATGGTTTAATACAAAATACATCTAAACTGGAGCAATGTTGGTAGGATGTTTCCTGGTGTTAAAACCTTGATCAAGTTGTGTAAAAGGAAAAGTAAAATATAGACTTTTTTGTCATCTTATGTTGAGATCAGGGTCTTTTGGTGATAAATGGGCTCTGCTTGTAGCTTCTTCCAGTTCCCACAATCAGGTTGTGTCCTTACCCCAAGGAATGATAATAACAATCAGTTATCCCACATGCTTATCATATTTAGTCTTCCATCTTTGCCTATACTTGAAAGGCCAGGTAAGCTTGACTGAAAGCTACAGAGTCTGGCCAGTTTTTACCTAGTGATAGACTGCAGAGGTCCATATTTTAAGCTTCATTGCTACAGTCTTTATGTTGGGGGAAGAAATCCATTAAATTGCACGGCATGTTTGCCTGAATATTAATCTGTATTATTTGCTTACCAGATACAGAGACCATATACCATAGCTGATGTAAACCTATACGGATTGACAGAAAACATAAATAGAGTAAATAAACCATGTACCTCTCAGGAAAATTGGGCACAACACCACTTAATTAAGACTTTTGTCTTAATATGCTTTATTAATATGCTACCATATTTATATTCTGTAATCCAGAGAATGAGCTTTATATTGCCTTCTCTCAATGTGCCTTTAGGAAAGCCAAAGATAGTTATCTTAATGGAGGAGAACAAAGGTCATTTGTTTTGTTTGACAGAATAGGAAAATGAGAGAATATTAATGATAAAAATATGGTTCACATCCATTGTATGCATTACCTGGATAATGGAATAGTTGGAAGGGAATCTCTTATTCAGCCATTGGATTAAATCTTCTTCCTTTTCAGGAAAACCATATGCATATAAAGTGCATTTCTGGCCACAATAGTAAAACTGGTCTTAATTCGCCCTTATGTAAGCAGGACTAAGAATGTTTTCAGTGAATCAAAATGCCTACCAGGTCTGTCATTCTTTTGCCTTTCAGAAGTGAGATCTGCATTTCCAATATCTCCCTATTAATGAAATGGTTTCTAAACAGAATAAAATCTGCTTTCATTTATTAATATAGAATTTGTAGGTGCAAAGTTTTGTATATCAGATACATTTCCATAGAATGAACACTTACATCAGGAATCAATGAAGTGTGGCTTAAGAATAATCATTTATAGTGGAGAAGAGGAAAAATACCATAATTCTGGTTTTGTTTCAAACAGCTAAATGCCAGTGTGCAGAAAAACCAAACAAGAGAAGGGAATGTGGGTATCCAGGTATCAAGGCTGAGGAGTGCCATAAAAGAGGATGCTGTTTTGATGCAAGCATGACTGGTGTTTGCTGGTGCTTCAAACCTTTTTCAAAACTAGGTAATGTAACTACCGCAATTGCTCAACATACCCCACAATAAGATACACTCCTTGGTTTGAAAGGCAGAAGGAAGAAAAATGATTTTTCCTTGTAGAAAGTCATGGAGTAGCAGCAGCTAGGGACCTGAGCCTGCTCATTGTTTTGATCTCTGAGGAGCACTTCAGATTTTACTTTTGCTTTTGCCTGGTAAGCAGCAGAACTGCTTTTACTGGATTTCTCACATATATTTCACACACCAATTTCCAGCAGCTGTTTTTTTGAGAAAAGTTGTGTATTGTATGTGAGAAAATATGGTATGTGAAATACATAATACTCATGGTTTCCAGTGTCCCTTCCCTACAGACTCTTGCATCTTGTCTTGTTCTGGCTAAAAAGTAGAGCAATATGTCCACCACAACATGAAGTAACTTCACCAACTGAAGAAGAAAAAAGGTTTAAACTTTCCCAAAACTATAGTGTCTTATACCCTGCAGTCACAGGCATCTTCAAAATATACATAAAACTGGTGTTAAATAGACTGCTTCTGGTCCTCTCAGCAAATATCTCTCTGCAAGTATAGTTTCCACTATTTATTTATTTATTTATTTATTAGATTTATATCCAGCCCTACTCAAAAGGCTCAGATTGACTTACAATAAATAGATAAATGGCCCGCATATAGGAATCTCTCAGACAACACTCCTTTTTGTAGCAGTAAACTCTGTTCAACATAAATCCAATCTGACAGCTGCTAAGAATACTATTTTTTATCCCTGGAATGTAATGCCAGAAGCATTAACAGGGGACATGACCAACATATTGTTCGGAGTCTTTAAATCAAGTTTGGTTATTTTGCTAAAAGAAAGGTTCCAATTAAACCTTAGTTATTGAACTCAATACAAAATTCCTATGTCCTGTTTTATAAAGGAAGGATAACTTAATGACCATAATTCCCTTATGACCATAAAACCCATGGATTTATGCCGTTATGGAGGCAAAACTTTGTCAGAGATCACATTAGTCACGAGTACATGGCAGTCTTCAAATTTATTGCTGATTTTCATAACCACAGCATTTTTCATCTGAAGACCAAAGTTAAATATTATGGGCAGTTTTACACATGCTCTGGAAGTGGGAGGGGGTGACACTTTAATTAGAGAACCGTTCTAATTAAAGTGCCACTGCATCTCGTGTATCAGTGTTCCCACACTTAAAAATGGGGGCAGGACACTTGAACTAAAGCCATTTTTAAGCCATTTTTAAGTGCGGGGACACAAGACGCAGGAGGCTGCTGGAGTGCGATTAATCGGAGCACCCTCCATGCTCATATATTGGCACCCTTACATTTTTATGTATAGTAGAGTACTTTCTATCAAGATTCCATTTCTAAACGATTTATTATGAGGGGTTAATAGACGATAGATCATTAATTATTTTCATAGATTTCATAGATTTCATAGACATCAGGGCTGGAAGGGACCTCGGAAGATCATCGAGTCCAGCCCCCCGCCCAAAGGGCAGGAAGTCAGCTGGGGTCATAGGATCCCAGTAAGATAAGCATCCAGTTTCATCTTGAAGGTGTTCAATGAAGGCGCTTGAACCACCTCCAGTGGCAGGCTGTTCCAGACCTTGGGGGCTCGGACAGTAAAGAAGTTCTTCCTTATGTCCAGCCTGAAATGGTCTTGAAGTAGTTTGTGACCATTCGACCTCGTCATCCCTTGGGGCGCTCTGGTGAACAAACGTTCCCCCAGATGCTGGTGGTCACCCCTGATAAACTTGTAGGTGGCCATCAGATCACCCCTGAGCCTGCGCTTTTTCAGGCGAAAGAGCCCCAGGGCTCTCAGCCTGTCATCGTAGGGTCTGCTTCCCTGACCTCTGATCATGCATGTGGCTCTTCTCTGGACTCTCTCAAGCTTCTCCACATCCTTTTTGAATTGTGGAGCCCAAAACTGGACACAGTACTCCAGCTGCAGCCTCACTAAGGCCGAGTACAGGGGGAGAACGACGTCCCGGGATTTGTTTGAGAAGCATCTATGGATGCAAGCCAGCGTTTTGGTCGCTTTACTAG